CTAGTCAGAGAAGAAGAAAAAAAAAACAAGAGAAACCAAGTATTTATTTAAGTATGTAAACCAAATATATCAAGAGATGTGCAATTATTTTCCTACTTTGAATAATTTTTAATGTGCATAAACAATTTTCTCTTTCCATATACTGTGGAGTGACATCACCATGGATGACAGAACACAGATCCAGGTTACATGGGCCAAACTACACCTATGAACAATAAAATCCTGATCCTGTGTTATGTACAATAAAATTCTGATCCTGTGTTATTCCTCTTAGCAGGCTAGATGCTTAGGGGAAGCAGACCTGTGCAGAAAATGAAGACAAGTGAGTAAAGAAAAGTCTACCACTGGGAATCCTAGTCCCAAGGAATGGATGGCTGACAGAGAAAAGTTATGCCATAGCAGAGCAGCAGCAGCCATATAATAATTTTATATATGTTGCAAGATTGCAATGTCTTCCTTAAAAATCTTGAAATGAGCAAGTAAGTTCAGCTATAAAGAAAAGAATTAAGTTACTCCTGAGCAGGCCAGAAAATTTGCAAGGCTTAAAGTACTGCCATTTTACTCCTTATTTACTAATTTTCAAATTAATGCATTCAATGGCCAAAACACAAAATGATTAATTAGGAAGAGCTCAGTCACAGTAAAGGTTATCACATCTCCTTAATGCTTTCTTTTCCAAAAGCAATTTGGGTTTGCTACTTTTAAGACCATTATACTCAAGGTCAGACCAGGTGAGAAAATTTCATGCTAAGAGTTTCAAGCCATTTTTTGAATTTTGAGGGTCTTCTCCCCTGCCAAATATTACTCAAGTATACAGTGATGATTTAATAGCATTTCTTTTCAAAACAGAATTTCCAGAGCATCTTTATAACTGATACGAAAACAGAATATCAGATATAGATATAGACTGTTACAAGAATACACATAACACATAATCCTAACCCGTCTTCATCAGTTATTAAAACGTGCAAGTTTCAAACATCTGGTGATACGCTGAATGTCACAGCTGTTGAAAACTCTAGTATTTTAAAGCCTGAATCAAGAAAGCTTGATATCTGTTTGTAAAAAGACATTTCAGTGAACCAGGGTCTTCAGAAGTTGTTACTGGTCTTGCTTTGGATACTCTGAAGCATTTCCAGGATATATACCCAAATTCTTGGCCTGAACTATTTTTGATGAAGACAGAGTCAGTAATCTCTCATCTTATAGCATCTAAATTAGGTTACTATAAATCATGGATTTATGACAAATGAGATAAACATTCCCAAAATACCCTTTGGCAAAGTGCTTTTGGACTGCAATTTTGCCAGATTTTTATTTGTCTGCAAAATTGTCAGTCTATAATGTACAGAGACATCATTTAGGTTCTGTCATACTGCACAAAAATACTTTGGTGTGTAGCTCTTCCTATTTGTATAGGTTATGCATGTCAGTGAATCTTGACTTCTTTTTAACTATATCTGCCCAAATATAAAGACTTTTTACAGGCTTAGATTACTAGCTTGGATTTATTTCTACACAAAGTATTTATCTGATTCCACAAAACTTGATAAAACAAAATTGAAAAGCTGCAGTTATTTTCTGCAGTTGAATTTAACATGCCCTATTACTTTACTGCAAGGACACCACAACTCCCAGTGGTGCCATGCTACTGGTAAGAACTATCTAATAAGGAGGATGCCCAAATTGGCTTGGACTGCAAAATCCAATATTAAAAACTGTTTTCACTTCTACATGCTGAAGCTTGCAAGATTTTAAGCCAAATATAAATTGTTTCATACAAACAGAAAGCAAGTTATTAAAAATGAACTTCATTTTTATTTTTATAAGGCAGAGCAGAAAAGAGCAAGTGATGTTAATCTGAGGAACAATTTCATAGTGTGTCAGAAGTATGATTTCTGTTAGAAATGCATAAATTATGCCATGCAGTGCTTACAAATTAACAAAAAAAGTATTATAAAAGTGAAGCCCTGCTGTGTCAAATATGCCACACAATTTTTGTTCTAATAACAGCAATTTAGGTTAGGGCGTGACTCTTCTCTGATATAGCTGTGCTAGTACAACCCCTAGTGTGGACACAGTTTACTGCCATGAAGGCATTATATTCATATAATCTATAAAGTATGTTCCTAAGCAGTAAAAGTATTAAGCAATGCACTGTTATTTCAGTACAGCTACATCCACAATGGGAGGGCTGGCTGAGAGAGAAAAAGAGAGGGCAGTAGGTTATGCTACTTTACAACATATCGGGCCAGATGAACAGATGTGGGTTTTGTGTAGAGAAACTGTGTGGTACAAGTCTTTCCCCCCACCTCCCTCCATAATCCTGATGTTAATCAGGATCATGATGGATGATATTACAAAACAGTTATTCAATTTAAATAGTAACATTGCTCTTTGCTTCTTAATTATTAAGAAATATTCATGTAAAATGCTAATAAGAGAGTTATTACAGATATTGACACATGGGTGTTAGTGCTGACCAAACAATAAATACATGGAAAAAGATATTAGGGTAAAAGGGAGGAAGACCAAAGATATATACTCTCTTTAGGTTTCCTAAATGATATAAGTTCAATTTTGAATAAGATTTATAAATACCAGCATATGATAAATACCAATCTGTATTTAATTGACATACAGATATATGTATCTGGTGATCCTAAATTGTACATGTGGGGCTTTCTGTCTGTTCTGACACACCTGAATAATTTTAAATCTTTTTTAAAAGTCACTCAATGTAAAATAAAAGATATCTTCAAAACTGAAATTTATCCACAGGACAATTATTAATACAATTATATCTCAAGAAGCAGTAAACTTGCTCTGAATATATTAAAAGGCAATCCAAAACATGATCCCTTGTTTTTAAAAGAGAAAAAAAATCCATCATTTAATACAGAATAGTATGAAAATACTCCTACATTATTGTCTCTCTACTTTAAATATGTATTTATTATGAACAGATGGTGGCCAAGGAAGGTATCAGCTCTGTCTCTTAGCCAGAAGGTCAGGTCATGGCTGAGAGACCAAAGAACAATTAATATTTGCTATTATTGCTATTCAGTGCCACATAAGATAAAACGTTTCAGGTTTTCTTTAAATACAAAGATAGATGCAATTGAACTGTTTTAATTTTTTTTAAACAAAATAATTTGCAATAACTTATTAACATTTGTTAAAATTTGATTTAAAAATCCCCAGCCAACAGGCAACAACAGAACAAGGCACTCTAACACTCTTCTTGGGCTGCCTTTAACACATTAAATAATCCTAGGACCTATACAGAACTTTTTGGGTTACTGGAGCCACAGCTATAAAACAGCTGCTAAATACTGAGTCTGAGAATTACAAAATTGTTTGTTTTCCTTTTCTTGAGGAACCAACAATCATATTTGAACAACACAATAACATAATTACTGAATATCTAATCTTTATCTAATTGTCTAATAATTCTTGCTGATAGGTACTCTCTCTCACATAATTTCACTTTATATCAAATTACAAATCACCACATTTCAGTGTATTCAGCTCCACACTGATTAAAATACCAGTATGTCATCACATGAGGTTAAAATATTTTGTTAAATTTTGTAATTTGTTCAAAAGGCAATCCTCAAGCAAGTTGGAGAACAGGATTTAAAATCCAAGATACTTCTTCAAGTATCTTATTAAACACATCCTGTTTTATTTGTATGCCAAGATTATGCCAACTCTTTTATCTGTGATATCTGTCAAGACACAGACGACAAGCCTGTTTTTTGTTTTTCAGTGTCCCTAGGCCTAAAGGATGCAGGAGTGAAAAAAAAGCAAACCTTGAGAAAAAGAACACTTTAAGACCTCTCTTCTTCTGCGCTGTATCATTTTCTATACACAGTTGAAGGGTTATTTCACCTAATAAGCTCCTCCTTTGGATTTTACATATATTTTCATTATAACTTGAATTAATATTGCTTCCAGACTAAGCTTGTACTATTAAGTTAATAAACTTACTGTCCTACATGCAGCTTTTGAGGAATTGGTAATTAAAAATTTAATTTTTTAAATACTTCATTTTACCCCTACATATATTCTTATACAGGGAATGATCTGTTCAGTTATTTAAAAGAAAAAAGAATGGTTCAAAATGTGTTGGATAGGCTACTCAAATAAAAAAAGGCATATTAAAAAAATCATCCTCATGTGCATGTTATATATTTGTGTATTCAGAAGACTCTTATGTGCAAATCAAAACTTAAGAAGGAATACTCAAAGTTTGAAGTCCTAGAGAAAAATGGATAGAACCTCAAGAAAAAGGGCACTTCAAAAGATGCAGATTACACCTGTTCAAACTGTTTGCCAAGTATGTTGCAGGTTACTCTAATAATCTTTCCTACTGCATGGGATGTTTTCTTACAGACAACCTGTAAGGCATATACTGGTTTTTGTATTAATATAAATCCCAGTTTTAGATAAGCAACAGTTAATGCCAAGTGGATTTTTTTCTATTGTTATTTTTTCTAGAAGGCTACTTTTGTTTTGGATTTGTCTTTTTAAACTTTCCTATGAATCCCAGCATTCAGTAACATTGACTCTTTAAAGAAATTGGAAGATAAATGATTTTCATTTTTGGCATCGTTAGGTTATGCTCAGAGCCTTTAATGTTCTGTTAGGCTGCATGTATAGGTAATTATGTGTGGATTTATTTGTGAGAAAAAGTGTATAAACACATGTATACATTACATAGAATTTAAGTAGCTGGTATGAATAATATGATAGAGTAATTCTATATGAAATCATGGAATGAGTGATGCGCAAAACTGAACATAACCAGGGCTGAAAACAAGATTAAGATAACCAAGAGGTATTTATTTAGCAGTAAAAGCTGGCTTTTTGCCATCAATTTAAACCATTTAACAGTAATAAATGACCACTATTAGAAAAATGAATCATTCCAGCCTCTGAAAAAACCCTACTTAGGCAACTAATAACTGCAAAGTTATAGCAGTATTATCTCTTACCTGGTCCTTAATTTCAAGCTCCCTTATAGTTTTTGTTCTGTACTCTCTGAGCTCCTTTTCTGCCTCATCCTTCTTCATTTTGGTTTGATTCAACTGATAGCGCATTTCTCCACACACCTGTTAGATTACACAGACAACATGATCTGTTAGCTTGAAGAATCCATAGCCCAGGGTTTGCAATTAGATCTTTTGGTGCCCTCTACAGGTCATTGAAATGCAACATATTTTTAATTTACAGATATTTTAGGTCTACAAATGGTAAATGTTTTTTACATAGAAAGGTGGATCTGAATTCTATATATAGTCATGAACTTTGACATATGCACTACCTTCTAGATTCAAATATATTTGGATCAAGATTTTGCTAAGTATAAATGCTTATGTTATAAACATCTATCTATCTCTACAGTTAAATGACAGTTGCTGGTTTTATACTCTTCTCTCATTCTCTGTAAAATCCCAAGAAAGTCTATGTCAACACTTTCAAAACCTAGAAGTAAAGCATCTATCACGCTCCTAATTAAAGGTGTATTTTAACTTGCCAATTTTACACTGTTGAGAAAGAAATTGTTTAAATGTTAACACAATAATTTTCAAAGTTTGATCGGAGCATTACAAACTTACTGCAAACTGAAGATCAATTCTTTAAAAAAACCAGTCTAATTTAAATGGATACATGGTCCAGAAGAAATGGATCAAAGCAACATTTCAGGAAATCACTTCTACACAGGACAATTATTCTCTGCTGTTGGAGTGTTTGTTATATTACCCCCTCAATCCTTTCCATCTGGGATCAACTTCAGAGGAAATGTGAAGGGGTTAAGAGAAAGTGAAAGAAATAAAAAAACATAACAAAACCAGAAGATCACTAATCCCTTTCACATAACTTTACTGCTGTGCAGGGTTAGTCTTCCAATTTTCAATCTAAGCTGTCCCCTTTTTGTTCTTACCCTGTGCCATCACCTCCAATTTGTGCCTGTTCATTTCACCTTAATTAACCAACCAAATACATGCACATTCCTTAGTGAGAATGCAAATGTGTTTACTCATAGCTCCTCTTAGTCAACTTTCTTTCCAACTCACTCTACTTTCCTGCCTTGCTTATATTCTCTCAGCACTTGCTCCTAAAATGTACACCCTTTTAATTTGCTGCTACAATCCTCTGTGCTTCTTAAAAACATTCTCACATATTCTACAATCCAAATTAATTTATGTTTTTCAGTCTTATACCTCTTCTCATTCTCACTTTTTTTTTTCTCCTTAAAAAAAAAAGGTAGGGAAAATGTAAATATGGATACTGCAATTAAATCACTCTAGGAAAAAACTAAACCAACTGTCATAACTTTCAAGAAGTAGCATCACTTATAAATTCAAAGGACAACTTGTGAATTTAGCCATTTCAAATAACCCAAAGCAGCAAATGCTCTGAAGAACGGCAAAGTTCTAAAGCATTTTTTGAACACTAAAATATTATATGCAAGTAAAAAAAGTAAAAAAAAAATCTTGAGATGCAGCTGCAGAGCTTGCATAGCTTGCTGGATTTCTACCTCCTCCTTCCTTTATCTGAAGGATGTAACAAAATGCAACATGTCACTTCCTCCAAATGAAATTAAAAAAATACAGCAAGCCTCGCTTTCAGCTCCTCCACACACTGCACAAAGGGAATAACACAGAAGAATCAGCAGATGGTGCTGTCCTAATAATGGATTTTTCAGTCTCCTCATGAATGAAGGAAATAGAACCTCACTCCATATTTTCTTTCCCTGACTCCTGGTGCATGAAGAAAAACAATATTTTGGATAAAAATCAAAACTAGAATGTTGTTATTTGCTGGTTTTATTAACGGCAAACTGAGTCTGGAAACAAGGAGTCAGATTCACAAGCAAAGATGTCACATGGCCAATGAAATGTCAGGGTGATGCACACAGTCCTGTCAGCTCAGTGGTTGGGAAGTTCCTCCAGGATTTTCAAGACTTCTCAGTTTAGTACAGGGACAGAAATAAAGTTTTCCAATCTCTCAGGACACTGAAATTAATAGACTATTGCAAGGTGACCACCTGTTCAACTTTGTTTTAACATGAATTGAAGCAGGGACTAGAACCACAGTATCATCTCCAGAGAGGTAAGTTCAAATTGGTAGGGTACAAAATTGTTCTTTTCAGACCAATGAATATTTGTACCTACTGCCTATTTCACCACCTCCTCACCCCTGTAAGTGGTGCTAGTGATTTGTGAACCCAGCTTGAGAGACCAAAAGTGTGTTCCAGAATTGGTAGATCAAACCATTCTGACATTTTAATATACTCATTTGTCTTACAGTTAAAATTAAGTTTCTAGTAAGTTGGGATGACTTTTTGCTGTGAATTTTCTGCAATACTTTTGCCTCTTTCTATCAGCCAGGGCAGCAGGGGAAGACAGGAACTGTTGAAAACTTTTCCTGAAATCTCTAGAGGCCTGAAAAATAAATTGCTCCTCAAATCCTTGCAGTTAACAACTGGGGAGGTAGGATGAGCCCTGGGATGATTGGTAAGAAATACAGACTTTTCAAGAGGCTGTAATAAGTTGTTTGGTTTTTTTTTTCTCATGTTATGACCCCCATTAAGGCTCTAAGTGATTGAGAAATGTGCAAAAGAAAGCACCCATGAGTGATGATCTACACAAGATGCATGTTAAGCTGCAATTCTTAACTAGATGTCTTTGTAAGAGCCCTACTATCAATAATACTAAATTAAACAACATACTACATAAAAATGGAAAGGAAAGAACTTGAAAATCAGTGTTTTGATATAGCTTCCTTTATTGTAGCACTGCAAGTCCCACAGGTGGCAGTTAAGGACACTGTTGAAGTCTATACTGTCTCACTCAGACCAAGCTCAGTTCTTTACTGAAACACTGGGATAGTGTTTTAAATAGTGACCCTCATAAGCTGCAAAATAGAAAAGTTAGCTTCTGCATGACAAGGTGACTTGGAAATGAAAAAAGATATTTTTTTATTCCTGCAATTAGGATAGCTGTAGTTGCCTCTGGGATGTTGAGATGAAGTCTCTACAGTTACCACACATTCCTTACCAAAACAGGAAAATGGACAAGGTAAAAATTCTCTTCTCTCAGGTCACAATGATAAGGAAAAACAAGTTCAATGCTCCTTCATAAATGTGCTTACCTTATTCATCTCCAGCTCATGAGATGCAAGCTGGCACTGTGATTCTTCTAACTGGCTAGCAAGAGAATTCTTTTCCCTTGTAATTCTCTCTATTTGGGCCTCCAGAACAGCCACATCCTTAGACAAAGCTGTCACCTGAAAAAGTCCAAGAACACTGTAATGATGCAATTTGACCAACCACAGAGCAAACTCTTGCGGAACTTTCTCCTCAAAAGCAACTGCATGTAGACAAAATACATGACATTAAAAAATGTAATAAAAAATCAAGTATGCACAATAAAAATATATCCTATATTATTAATAATAGAATATGGCTACATTATTTTATTAATGGGTTCACTATTTTTAATTTATTTATCATGCAGTAGTTTATTTGAAACTTTTCATCGACTGCACTAGTCTCCAGGACTTGTTAATATGGACAAGGTGTCAGTAACAGCTGGCTACATTACTTTTGCAATGTAAGAGTACTATTTAACACCTTCTTATCCATCCTTATGTAGATTGATTCAAACCAAATCATGTTCCCCTAGCTAAAGAAAACTGTTGTTGCAAGCACAGATCTTAAATTAATTTTCAAGTTCAGAAAACTATAGATCAAAGCATACTGTTGTGAAAAACTCATATAGAATTAGTATATTAAAAATTCTAATGTAATTCAGATGAAATTTTGCTGGATGATTAAAAAATGTAACAATAAAACAGAGACAGTGAAACCTTCAGCTGTTTAGCCCTGAAGCTTACTAATATAAGTGGAAATAATGGTGTCTGACAGTTCTAGGTTAACTTTCAGAAATTCAAAGCCAAACCTAGTGGATTATATATTCATAACTATTTTTCACTCCTTATGCATGCACCTGATTTATCTATCATGCCAATTCGCCCCTTCAAACAAACCATTTCATAAAGTAAGCAATAAAATATTGAGATGAATCTTGATTTGATCCACATTTCTACCACATTTCTACCACTTGATCCATTTCTACCACCTCATAATCCTAAAACATAAAAGTTGTTAATCAGATGTAAGTGTAAATCATTAGCATAGATCATAATTTTCTACAGTCATCACATCTCTTTAATCACCAGGCATGGCATCATCATAGTGTCACTATAAGTTGTTTAATGTATGTGCAGGGTTTATAAAAAAAAAGTGTACAACTATTTAAAGTGGGAATTGGTTCCAGTAAAACACATTTCAGTAGGTGATGAAATACAAACTAATGTGATGACATGGAGTGAAATATTCTACCAAAAAAAGTATGAAATGCTTGTCTAATAGGCTGTATTTTGGAGTGAATACACTGCTTTAAATCAACTCTGTAATAAATCAACTAACTTCATAAAAGGGATAACTTCTAATAGATAGCAAGAAATAAAACAAGGAATTGCTTAATAATGTCTCCAGTGGAAGATTATTTTTTTAATTTCAGTTTCCCTGGCAACAGATCACTGATGATCAGTTCACGTACTTAGAGATCACTTAGTCCCTATCACTGTGCTTAATATCTGTTTTGGTATCTGGAATTGGAGTCAAAGAAGGTTTTTTTACACACTTAAATGGTTTATTTTGCTCAGTTTGTGCTCTCCAAATTTCTAGAAATAATACATACAACTTATAAAAGAGTCCCGAAAACTAAGAAAAAGTGTTCAATCAGAAGAGAAATTGACTCTCTTGTTTTCAAACCTCCCCTATAAATAGTTGAAGATGCTGCAGATCAAACAAGGGTGAAGACCACTAATCCATTAAGTATTTGTCTCTCTACATTTCTTCCCATTTTAATCACCTTAGAAGCCTCCTCTATCACAGGCTTACTGCTATTAGCTTGAGCTTTCCTCTGGAGACTCCATTGGGCAGAAAACCCTCATGTTTTATACTCAAATTACAGCAGCATCTAGAAGCCTAAAACAAGGTTATCAAGACTATCATGATGGTCGTGGCATAAATGATGAGACAGATTCTGTCTCAGAGAGTTTATAAACATTAGTAAGAGTGAGAAAAGAAATTCCAACACATTTCTGCAGGTGGGAAAACTAAACATATGATAAGATCCCTTGGAAATTATGATATTGTAACATTAATGTATATAAAAGATCAAAGTAGCAAAGAATCCTAAATTTGACAAGTACTAACTTCTGAATGCTTGCCATGGCAAACGAAATAATAATTTTTATTAAAAAAAAACTAGGTACAAACCTTGAATCACATATTACTTAACCCTTTCTTACTCTGACACAGTGCATTAAAAATATTATGCAAACTAAAATAAAGTGCATAACACCAACAACCTAGTATGTATCAAGTGACATTGCACAAAACCCAGTTATTCAAACTCAAAACATCACCTGTCTACCACTGCTTTAAAGAAATGGTAGAAGTGACTGAGCTCTCACACCCAAAACTAAAAATAAAAGACAAGTAAATGAAGTTTAAAGAGGATGATGATTCTCTCATTGTAATACACAAACAGAGAAAGAACCAACCCATACCATTGCTGCCAAGTCCTCCCTTTCCTTCTTCATTTCCCGTCGCAGTGCTTCTTTTTCATCAGCCCTCTTATTTAGCTGGGCAGCCAACTCCTTCTCAAGATAATTCTTCTGTCGTTCCATCTCACTTCTCAGTTGTTCACAGTGGACTAGAGCCTAAAAAACCCCAATTTACTTAAGTGAAAGAAACCTACAATTTTTAAACAAACATGGTATTCATTTAATAACTTCAAAGAAACCAGTTTGCTATTAGAAATGTCTTTTTTTTAAATGCATTTTTAATGATGTTTATACATATCCTACTGTGTTAACATCTAGAATAGGACTAACAAAATGAAAACAGATGTATATGTTTGTAGGTTTGTATGTATGTTTAAGATGCCTTACTGTAACTGAGAAATTTAATTGCTCTTAGGAATAATGACAAAGATAGAAGAATTTTTCTGTGTGTGTTTTCCAAATAAGGAGCTGTTGTAAAACTATGATTACTTGCCTTACATTTAAAATTTGAAATTCCTGAATGCACATCACTAGAATCAGCCTCCATATTTGACTCCTTGCAAATACAGTGGTTGCTGTCTAACTAAAGAACTGAAGGAAAAATGAATAAAATGTATGCACTTCCACTTAGTGTCCTCCTAAAGTGAATTACTGAGTGCAGAATGCTAAGAAACCATAAAGTAGTCAGTAAAGATATAAAAAAAAAAGTTTACAAATAAATTTCAGGTTTGTCAAAAATTAATACTACTAAATACCTCATAAAGTACTGCTTAATTTCAGATGCTAAAACACAGGGTTATAGATGGGTTTTCTATGAAAAAAGAAGAAACGTAAGTTCAAGAACATTCTCAAAACACCATCTTCACTATCTTCTAAAAAGGCTGGGGGAAAAAAGAAGATATTTATCTATTTATGCTGCTGTATCTCTGCCAAAGTGTAGAATTTGAGTGTTATGTCAGTTTAAATCATAAATACACTACTCCATTACAAGTAAATCCAAATATTCAAAGTACCCTGAAGGGAGCTTTGCTAGCCTACAAGTAAACTAGATTTAATTTCAACATTCCACTGATATCCAACATATTCTGTTTCAAAGAAGCTAGAGTAACCTCCCTTAAGGAATTCTAACTTATTACCCTTCATTTTCAAATTAATTTTTCTTAACTGCTTATTTTTCTTTCACTCAAAGCCAGTCCCTTGTGTTCAATTTCTTTGGCTTTGTTCATGAGGGGAGCAAGTTAAACCACGATTTTTAGAGACTGCTCTAACAGTTTCCATTAGTTTTATGGCAATTCTGTGGGATCCTCTTCAGGCGAGAGAATCCCTCTCTTATGGCATTGAATCCTTTTCTGTAGGAAAGAATCATCAACTTCAGCAAACAATTGCCTGCATAAAACTGCTGCAGCTTGGTAGACATCCAAACCAATGCACTCTAGAAGAAAGCAGTTGCATTAGTTGCATTTCAAGAAGAAATGTGTATTTTGTTAGCTCCACTGTTCTGACTACACAACGAGCACTGCAAACAATTATTTATGACATTTGTGTCAAAAATATATTCCTGATTTTGCTTCAACTTAAACATAACATATTTCCTTCCTGCTCTATGCAATAAGCAAGAGGCCAAAAACTACAGAGACAACCAAAAGACAAGAAGAAATGGTGGTTTTAAATGATAAGCACCTGAGGTTAGACTTTGTGACAACAGGCTGATGAAATTGCAATTATAATATTTAAAAGCTTGATGTGTTAATTCTCACTTCTGTTACATGGAATCTTCTATGGGATTCCATGCTGGTTATCAAGAAAAACAGCACTTGAGAGTACAATAGGACAGGGCAAAAAAAGGATGATTTGTACTTATCAAGAGGTATACCAGTACTTGTAAAAAGGCAAAATTAATGCAGTATAAGTAAAATTTTTTTTCCTGTTCTTTCATATTAAAACAGTTTTGGGGCATGAAAAAATACCAGACTACTATTCAGCCTTGAAGACAAACCGGTAGCACTTTACACAACCCTACAAGCACCCACTCTTCTCTTACAGCACTGGAATAAATAACACCAATTTTATCAATCTTGTTTGCATTCAATTACAAAAACCAAAACAAAGCAACCCTCTCTCAATTCCACAGTAATTCACTAATAGTACAGTAGATGTCACTAACTATCAAGGAAATAATTTAGGTGAATATAGGTTGATTGTGTACAGGGCTAACACAAGCATTAGATCAAAACTGGTTTTATCACTATTATTTACATAACACCAGAAGCTTAGACAAGCTTAGCACTAGACAAGACTTCTCATCTTCAAAGAGCTCTGATAGTCAATCAGTTCTTGCACTGCTCTCATCTGAGGCAAAAAATAACTGTTTGTAAGCATTTTAACTATTCTTTCCAGAGTAGGTCAGAAGGGTGATGTCAAAATTATCCTCTTACATATCATGAATATCTTTGAAAATTCTACAACTCAATTTATATCATTTAGCTGTGAAAGTACATCAATTAAAAAATGCAGCACTCCCCATAGTATGGATGAGAATTTAAGAACTTGAATACAGAATTCCTATTACTGCTCAGAAACAATCACATGGTGCAGGTGTTTTAAATCTACATTATATTAAAATATGACAAAAGTCTTATGCATGCGTACTCTCATTAGCATGAAAACTAATTAATATTTAATAGGCTGGAACATTAAAAAGCTCTAATTTCGTGATGGATTTACCTTTGTTTTTTCAAAATTGGCCTCTTCTGCCATTTGCACAGCATGTTCAACTTGCTTACAAGCATTAGATTCTCTTTGCTGCATCTCTTTTATGCTTTGTCTCACTGAAACAAGTGCATCCATCAAGTCATCTCTTTCTCTGCATATTAAAACAAAAACCAACCCAGATATTTCTATTTCTTTTTGTATGAGAAAAAACCCCAAACAACAGGTATACCAAATATAAAATACATACAGATGAAAGGCTTAAGCAAAGTGGTAAGCAACGCAAGACTAAAGCTCATGAGTGAAAGACAACATACTGCAAGCTTGGCAGATACTGAAAATATCATTTGCTTGACAACCAGTCCTTCATTTTAAAAGGATGGACCATTAGAGAAACTGCCTGTAAAGACAGCAGATCTCAAATCATTAATGTATGGAAGCTGAGCACATTCTGTTGATGTAACAAAATGGGGATCCATGCAAATAATAAAAAAAAGGCAATATGGAATTACACTTTCATTAAATGTAAAAGAGGGAAAAAAATAATAAAAAGGAAGGGTTAGGTTCAACAAGTAATCTCGAAGTATATCAAATGACAATCTAAATCCATTTGCTGCAAACTGGAACTAAGCCAAACAATAGGACACCTGGATTCTACCACTCTTCACTAAAACACTAAAATCTGTACTAAATGGTAAAGCAGACTTGGTAAAACTGTAGTACTTAACCTCATCTTTTCACTATTTTGATATGTTAAAAGTTTTTAAATTAATTTTTGTCTGTTGTCTGTGGTTTAGGTGCAGCTCAAGATTCTGTCTGAAAACTGTTGTGTTCTTAATGTTGTGTAAAATGGTAACATATTTTTTTGTGTTTGCCAGGGACCTAGCAGTCATACGTTGAAGTTTCATTTCATTTTTTCAATTGGATAAAGTTCCTTGAAAATTCCTGCTGAAATACCCTTGTTTTTAATAAACTGCACAAGTAGAGGTAGCTTTTAATTTTTTTTTAACCTCCAAATGAAGTAATGATTTAAGATAAATAAAGAGGTCAATTCACATCTTTTATTTCAAGCTCACCGTAATATAAGAGAACAAGAATGTGCTGATTTACAGTTTGTTCATATTTTCCAACATCTGTGACAAATAATTACTTTTGTTACATAAGTAGATTTTGAAACATGACTTCTCAGCAACAGAGCTTTGCCAGAAAATTTTTGGACTTGCTAATAGAAAAAGATACATAAATCCTGACAATAACTATCTAGTGCAGAGGGATAGTGCCCACTTGACCAAGTACATATATGTTCTATGCCCCTTCAGTCTCCCTGCTTCTAATTGACCCACTATTCCATCTCAGGCTCATTTAATACTTCAGAAATTCCAAGAAACTTCAGATATCTGACAATAAATAGATGGCTATTTAACAAACTTTGAGAAAGTTGCAGTATCCTGTCATTATTACTAGCAAGTAGAAAGGGAGAGTTTTTTGAAGATAAATTGACTGTCAGAATTCCTTAAGGAAAAGAATTTAATGTTGGGATCCCTGAATTACATATATCCAGCCTATATAGCTGTGATTAAAAAAAATTATATAAATAAAAGCTATACTTTTTTCAAAAAGGGTGCAAGAAATAATTTTATTTATTTTTGTCCAATAGAACTTCTTTTCCCAGTCTTATTGTAGTCAGGGAGGAACTTCTATGGGTGTTTGGGGTAGGAAATGCATCCTACCCCAAGCACATAACCTATTGTTGATGTATCTAAAAAGTTCCTCAGAGGTAACGAGAGTAAAGTGGAGCCAGAAAATCTTCCAACTACATAATTATAATGAACTGTTGCAAGAAATAATCAGTCAAAATGCATGGACTTGCACAATATTTGTGCTGACAGAGTGAAGGACTTGTTTGTACAAAAAGTACAGGAAACAGACTGTAAATTGTCTCATTATCTGGTCAGCCCAATGTATCATAATTACATTATAACAACTAAAATTCTTTCCCACTTGAAATAAGCAGCAAAGCTATTGCGGATTTTGAAGTGATTGGCACCTACATTCAGTGATTTCAGCATTATGACTCCAGCTTGGGAGTGTATTGTTCCAGAAATGCACATCTCTCTACGAATGTAACCCAACACACTGAGACTTGAAAGGTTTAATGCAAGCAGCCATGGCCATATTTCCAACACAAATCCATGCCCCCAGTACCTACCTGGTCAGCCTCTCGATGGTCTGCACGTGGACATTACAGTGAGTCTGTGCAAGAATGGCCTCGTGCTGGGCACAGTTCAGGCACAGACCACCAACCTGGCCAGAATTTCTGGCTGCAAACAGTGACTTCTGGTGTTTCAGCCTTCCTTCCAAATCTTTGCATGTCTTCTGAGATTCTGAAAGGTCTTTTCTAGAAAGAAGAAATTTGTGAAATTAGATATTTCTACAAGTCATATTCACATACAACTACAAATGTTACCTAGAAAGAACTGTAAGAATCTCTGTAATGAACAGTATTTTACACATTTCAGTAGGGTAAGGAAGACTTTAACAGAGAAATAACAGTTGAACTGCCCAATCAAAATTATTAATAGACAAAACAATACTGTGTGAATTTATTTCTTTCCCGATATCATCAGAAAATATTGAAGTTAAACAGAAATTTATTAGATGAAAAACCTGTAGGCTTACATTTTGTCTGAATGGAGTATAATATTCATTATTAGCAAAAAAAAAAATCAGCTGTATAAATATTTAAATACTCCAACAATTTTCTGTTTCTGTTATTAATAACATCACTAGCTTCCTATTTATTCTCTACTCCCTAGACAAGAAATCAGCACATCACTCAGATCCAGCAATATACAAAACCTGAGGCCAAACACATGTGCAGAAAAACAGGCTAAGTTTTTTACTTGTCTCCAAAATTTTTACCAGGTGCTCTGAAGAATTTTCTCCAGAATTTCCAAGCATGTGTCAGGCTGGGGAGATCGCAAGCAATAGGAATGTTAACATCAGGAAGTTCCAGACAAACGCACACTGTGCACATATAGATCAATTTGACAAATTGTGCAATGAATCCAAAGCTTTGGGTTTGTTATGCAGGCCATCTGGGCAGCACACACTCAGGAAGTCTGACACATTCTGCTTGCATTGGATTTACTGTGCACATGATATATACACTGCGTGCATTCTTATTTCCATCTGGAAAATCTTCTGTGCACTTTTTCCAATTTTAGTAGTCGGTCTATTGCATATAACCCACTATAACCTGAACAGAATTTGCTCTGCATATATCCTTAGACAGTCATGGTGCAACAAACCTATTGTTGGAAAGTTTTGGACAGAAATCAGCAAGTCCTGTGTACATTCATCCTTAAAGTTAAAAGAGAAGAAAGAATTATATCACTGAACGTGATATAATTTGTCACTTCAATAAAATTTAGTTTTGCAGAACTTCCTGTTTGCAAGATCATGCCTCTTAGGAGAAATCAGAGGCTGAATAATGTACTTAAGGAAATTCTGAGACAACCCCCAACAATTACTTTTGAGTAAATATAACACTTGAGGCCAAGGGGAAAAAAAAATTGGACCATAACAGCTGAAATGAAAGAATCTCCTTTACCTTCACTAAGACAACTGGCTTTGCATTTTGCAGGTTTCACCAAAGCATTCTTTTAACTTGTCTCCCTACCAATAATTCTTTTTACACACAGAACAGTCTAGCATTTTCAAAACTGTGAAACCATGATTAATTTAGGGAAAAACATGATTAAACAGTAGGAGAAAGTAGCTAATTATGGAAGTTGTCACACAAGTTAAAATTGTAACCTCTCTTTTTTCTTTGAGTGATCTATCTTACATGACCTTTCTTAGGGGAAAGAGGGTAAAAAAGATAAGATGTTTTATATTGGTACTGTTTCTGTAAAGAAGCAGTGCATTCAATTTTGCTACATTGATATTTGAGAGAACTTAATAGAAAACCATTTTTTAGGGACACTATCAGAAGACACAACATTCAGGCATTCTCTTAGTTAAATTCAGATTAAGAGTGGTTCATGCTGTTATGCAGTGACAATTTTTTTAAGGATTATTTTAAGAAAAAAAATTAACTTTACCTTAGAGACTGTATTTGAGCATCGAGGATATTGACTTTTTCTTGATAAAGAAGTTTTAGATTCTCCTTTAGAAAAGATGGGAGAAGATATGTCTTGCTTTCTTCATAACAGTCTTTACAAATAAACCTAGACTTTACCCACATTCTTTTCCCCTTAGGACATAAACCTGTTGAAATACTAGTGGCAGAGAAACCTAAGTATTTCAGTTTTCTGGAAGTCTAAAAAGTGAAAAACCCTCCCATTTTTTGTTTCTAAATAAGGTTTTTTGCCAGATCCTCATATGGTAAATTGTTTCAATTCCAACTGCATTCCTCAGTTCTCTACAATGATTCACAGAAACTGATAATCATGTCTCAAGTTTGCTCTTGCTTTCCCACAAGTCAGCAGATATTAACACATAATTATTAAGAACTTGAATTACACAGACTATTTATTTATAATACAGTGAGTTACTCTTCAGATTCCTGGTGAAGAACTAGGTATATGAATCAACCACACCCATGTTAAATACAATGGTGATAACAAAACCAGACAAAGCACTACAAATTTAGCTCACTATGACACTTAGAACGAAGTTACAATCAACATGATTCTCCTGATTTAAATGTGGCAGCTGAAGAAAAAAGCAATTACTGTAAAAAACTGCTTCCAAACAACTGCAGGCATCAGTGATCACTGAGGTCTTCAGCTCTAAAATAATAGTACAAAAAACCCCAAAACTATATATTTCTATTAAAAACCCCTCAAATCCCAAATAATTAAAGAATTAAAGTATAAATTCCACAGTACAAAAATGCATATGAATAAAATATATCAAAAGTTTCAATTAGCCAAGTTTTTTTCCCAAAAGATAGCAAAACTACCCCACTATTTCAGAGCAAAATGAAAATTAATACCCTCCAAAAATATAGGAGGAGGCAACAATCTCTAAATTACTAGGACTCCTCTGTATCTCTAAAAGCACAAGGTGTGTAATTCATCCAAGGGAAAGCAGATTGCACAAAACTACTTTTGTACCTTACTCAGCCTGTACTGCTCCAGGAGCAGAACAACTCATTATGAAAAGAATTTGTGTGGAGGGCTACATAAATTACACCAGCTAATTCCCACCTGCTTGGGTGCTGTGTTACTCCTAAGAATCTCCCAAGTACAGTGAAGCCATCATCTTTAAACAAGAATTATCTCTGGGAAGTAATCATCTGCAGATAGAACCTGCCATCTGTGTCTAACTGCACAATAATATTAATTAGGGCATAATGAGAAGATGAGGTTTAAGAGAATAAAATTTGAGCTCAGATTAAGGTTCAGTCAACTAAAACTTCTCCTGTGTCTGTTAAAAGGTGATCATCAGAACTGGAAAAACACCAACAACAAAACACTGAAGAGTTTTGCAAAGGTAGGAGTCTGTGAAGAAAGGTAATACCAACCAGCTCTACAGGCCATCTGGCTTTGTCTCCAGAAGCTGCTGCCACAAAAGCCTGATCTTTGTTATGTGCCAGTGAGGAGGTGACAGGCTGGTGTGTGCTGCAGTCTTTACCACCTACAGGCCAGGATTTCTGAGTATTTGCCTAAAATGAAAGTATTAATGCTTCAGTTATGATTATGCAGGCTGGTTTTTTAAACAAATTTCCTTACTTAAGTATTGAACCTTATAATCTTCAGTAGAATATAAGAACCAATAAACAATATTCATTATATTCTCCTGAACAATCCTCAGTAGAATATAAGAGCCAATAAACAAATTAATTAGGTTAGCAACCTACAATAATGATGCTACCCAAGGAAATCCATATTTACAAATTCTCATTAAATTTTGACTAAAATTCCATTTGCAGACAACCATTTGTATACTCTTCCATAAAAATAATCTGGCCAGATCCTTGAGCACTGATTAAAGCAAGAAAAAAAAAAACTTACTGAGGCATCAAGAAGAGTTTGTTCTCTCAACATGTATTCTGCAGTTAAGAATTTCAGCTTCTGATGGAGTTCCTCATTTTCAAGTAAAACTGCCTGTTCTTGATCTTTTACCCCACACAACTCCTCCTATAGGATGAAGGAATTGCATTTAAAAGATTCCTTAATATGGCTATCAATATTGAAATGCATCTTGAGACCAAGAGTCTAGATGAACATTTTCAGAAGTTTTAACCCTTTTAGAGAGACTAAGAATTTGCAAAAGAGAGATTTTGTATTTTTGCAGCTTAAATTGCTATAAATCTTTAAAAAATGCTCATTTGTATTTGTAAAAATATATTTAAAGACCCTTAAATACCAGATACCAAGACACAGGGTAAGGGATCTACTGAACTGCATTTGGCTCAGTTTTGGTCATTACAACAATCAATCTCAAATCTAAATGTAAGCTGCTTTTAATACAGTTCTTCACATTTGGGGGATCAGGGTTTTAGTAGGTCAAATAAGTTATCTGATACCTTGTAAAACTTCACTTCTGCTTCCAAATGTTTAATGTACTGTGACTGATCAGTGATTATAGGAACAAGATCAAAAAGGGCTGGTAAGTCTGCAGGCACAGCTTCTGGGGGCTTCTGAAGGAAGTAAAGAACAACATGTGTTATGTTCTGATTTTCCACTATTGCAGTAAGATCTTGCTTGCACACAGAATACAACCTACAGTTTTCTGGTAAGGCTTCAAAATGCACACAGAATTGTTAATGGAGTCTTCTCCACTAACACTAGTTCATACTTCTGAAGGAAAACAAGTATCTTTATGCATATCCCTATTTTTGAAACTCACACAATTCTAACACCTATGATTTTGGGTCACAAACATGCCTTTTTGTGCAAAAATATTCCATTATATATTTCCTAAATATAATTGAAGTCTAAAAAAGATCAAAGATTCAGAAACCTACATCATTGTTTTTAAATATTACTTTTGAAATATTCACCTTTGCAAAAAAAACGCCAAAAAAACCCAAACCAAACCTGAACAAAAACCCCACAAAGCAAAATAAAAAAAGCAAACCAAGTCGCTAATGGCCATTACATGTACTAGTTATCTTATCTACAGGTTCTGCCAACAATGCATTAAAATTCCTTGTCCAATCCTTATAAAGGTAAAGTCCTTAAATTAGGATGAGATGAAAGTTTCTAGCGACAAAAACCTTGTAATCCAATTATACAAATATAAGTATTGGCTTATAAAGAGGGGGACATTCTTGAGATATCTGGAACCAGGATTGCAGAGACAAATGGAGGATACCCAGAACTATCTGAAAAAACATCCCTTTAGAGAAGGAATTCTAAATTTGCCACATATTCTGCCTAGCTCAGTAGACATAAGCTCCATGTTCTACTGACTCAGAATTCATCCTGATTTAAATCCTTAATCCTAACTACTTTATAAATTAAAACAAAAAAGGAACCACACTTGTTAAAGTATATATAATATAGCCTTGATAATATTTGTAAGTCATCTGTTTCTCTGGCTCCTATTCATCCATCCCTCTTCTCTGAAAATGTAATGAACACCTTGCAGCTGAGACCTCCAGCTGCCTCCCTGACAAGATTACACCACAGCAATGTTAGAAAAATGTGGAAAAACTCCATTTCTATTCAAATTATTTTTCACTGAAAAACAGTTCTAATGTTTAAACTGAGAAACATCACTGTAATGTAAACAATAGTGCTAAGGAATTTTTCACTAAAAAAATAACAGGTAGTGTATTTTCTCAACACAAAAAGATCTCTGTGATTTTCTTTTTACATTTTTAACAACATAATTGTTATAAACTGATTGTAAATTGATTTGGGATTTTTTAATTAATGTTCTCACAATATAACATGTAAGAGAGTGAAAGAACAGAGGTCAGAAGAGGCATGATTTTAAATCTTGCCAAATATTAAAATCAGAACTGAAAGACACATCTGATCAGTATGAATTACCAAACAATTATGCCAGAGTCTTGGAAATGCTGCTCACACTCAAATACTTAATACTGAAAAGGATTTATAAAATATAAATGCTTAGCAGCTCTAGAAGCCAGCATTCAGCACGGTGACAAATAGTTTTGCCAACATCACAAATAATTTGGCTCCACCTTGTACTTTCCCAGAATGTCTCAAATCTCAAGCATCTAAACCACAGAATTACAGAAACTCTGCCATCCTATAAACTGGCAGGAGACAACAGGAATTCATCACATCTCCAGCTATAAGAACAGTGTCAGGAACAGAGGTTGGTTGCAGCTAGGTTAGCCAAAACCCAGCTGGCAGAGCTGCATTGTTATATGAAGCAGTCTTGCTGGGCCTTGACCTCAGGTGATAAAGTGTAGGGCAAAAGGAAAATTTCTGCACAACCATCTGGGTGTAATCAGAAGGAAAGGATTTAATAATTTGATGTCTATTGCAACTTTAATCTATGGGAAAGAAAAGGGAATTTTGTTGCAACAATATTATTTATATGTGTGAAGTGTGGTAAAGGTTACTAAAGTGTGTAATTTTTGTGAAATGTTATATTTAGCTGTAGATCCTGCAGTCATTTACTATTCAGCAGTCATCAGGTATTTCAGCATCACTCAAAGCAAAAGGTTAAGGTTACTCATAATCTAAGTTTGCTTTCCTCGACCTTTGGAAAATTGGATTCTTTTTATACAAGAAGCATTTCTGCAGTGTCCAGTAAATCACCGGACAAACTCATATTTTATGAGGGCTTGGGCTTATTTTTGGTGTGTGTGCACTTCTGCAGTTCAACATTTTTTTGAGCTTTACACGTGGTTGCCTTCAGAACACTTTCATATCCTCAAGCAGATGGAGGACAGCTGCAAAGGAGAGTAAAGCCACCACTTCACAGAATATCTCTCACTGGAAACTTCAAGAGGAAAAAATGGGGCAATGCTGTACCAATACAGTAAATTCTCATTTTTTTCTTTGTTAATTCCTTCATTCTTTGATCCTCTCCCTGAAAGCACTATCCCAAGTTTCTTAGATAAAAGTATTCAATTTTTTAAATTCTCCACTCTAGTAAAACTTCCCAATATGAATAGAAAACTTCACCAAAGATGGAATAAAAGATTCTTTCCCTCCCTTCCAAGGCTAAATACAAACTGATACCAATTCAGGTCATGCCAAGCCATCCAATGATCCATCAATCCCTTGAGCTACAAAACACTAACTCTTTCCTATGCCATTATGAGGCAAAATACTTGGCAGGACAACCATACTAAACTCATGGGTCATAGAACACTCAAAGTTAAATAAAATTCCTTAACATCAGGACAGCAGAGCTATGCTCATTACACAGGCTGAAAGCAACACAGCAGGAATACAGCTCTTAGATTATTCTGCTGTTAACTTTGACAGCAAAGAGCTGCTTGTCTTGCTTTAGTATAAGCCAAAAATATTCAGTGTCTGCCATCAAAAGATAAAACCGCAGCAGTGCCTTTGAATTATTTTTCTGTGGAGATCCTAGCAACTCTCAGCTGCTCTGTAACTGAACAGTGCATCACACGTACTGTGGTGCAGGTCTGCTTCAATGAAGCAGCATCTGAGAAGCCCTTGTAGGGGGCTCCTTGTAAGGTTTGCTCCTTGTAAGGGAGTAAACAAACTTTGACAGAGACCACTGCATTTTGGCAGAGAACTACAAAACCTGTTTTTGCATGAACATCTCTAACTCTTCCAAGAAAAAGCATAGTTAAAGCATAAGAAGGACACTGAGAATCCTTAATGTACAGTAAATGGAAAAAAGAGCCTGCTTTTTCAGAAATTTTTCTTTGTTGTCTATTCCAAGTGTTTTCAAAATGAAAAGAATGGATGACCACACTACATGGTCAACAAAAAGAGGAGAAAAGTATAAACCCTGTATTACAGATTTCTTTTTCTTCCATTATGGTCATAAGGATGCTAAGTTTTGGTCATAGCCTCAGTAAGCTCCCATATTTAAGACTGTTAAAATGATTCAATGTTTCCTTTTTTCTCTTTATACTGTAAAATCAACATGCATGCCATTTATTCAAACAACACAAATGAAACCAGAAGAAACTTACATGGAATGAACTTTTCCTTCTTGAGGGAGACTCTTCACTTTCCATTCTTTCTTGGTGTTGCAACAAAATTTTAAGTTGGTTAACTAGGAAGAGATGAAAACCATTATAACCAATAAATAATTACTTTTTTCATTGAAATTAGTATAATTTCTAACAATGCTTAAATCATTTGCTTTCAGAGCAATCTTACCTGCATGACTGTGCTGCAGTTCCTGACTGGCTTCAGTCCCACAGTCATCACTCGCCCTGTCTGCATTGCCACTCTCCTCATCCACAGAGGACTGGTCAAATCCAGTGCCATCACCTTTTGCCAAGGCATGTTTCAGTTGAGAGATGCTTTCACTGGCACGCTCTAAAAAAAACCCAACCACATCATTAGCCACAAGAAACAACAAAAAAGAAAGGATTTACTGGCTATTATTTTAAATGGGAAAAAAACATGAGAGGACTACAAGCATTCAGCATGTGTCTAGCTTGACTACTTGACCTAAACTCAGCCATTGGAAGCAATTATCTAATGCAAAGAGCCAAAAAAACCCTACCATATTTGAAAAATATCTTAGCCCCTCAATACATTAGGACTTTGCAGCAGCACAAGTAATAATATACTTGACCCTAAAATATTTCCTAGCACATGCACCTTCCATACTTTTCAATGAACCTAAAGCTCATGCTATATTTTCTACAATATGCAGGATTGGAAACCAAGAAAAATGTTTTTGCATTTTAGCGATGCCACCTCACATTATTACAAAGCAACATGTCACCCTGAGTAAATAAAGTAATAACTCAGAAAACCAAGCCACCATAAAATAGTTATTTAATAAAGACCAATGACTTCTGAACAGTGTGAAAAATAAATAACAACACACATTATTCTAGAAAAAAGACCCAACAAACACAACAGAAAACCTCTATCCATATAAATATAAATATTTTCAAGAACGGATTTACTGACAGATGATACAATAGAGGTCTTATCTAATGTTCAATATATTTTTTTTCCTTGTATTCCTTTCTAAATTTTTTCTTTGATTCAGCTGACTTCACAAAAATCAAGCATATTTTAAACAGTCAAAATTTAGTAAAAGAAACCCAAATACCATTTACAAGGCAATGACTCAGAAAAGAAGGCTTTAGGTCAAATATTTGACTTTTGGCATACTTAAGCTCTTCATCTTTCTTGAGCATTCCAGGATGCTATGAGGGCGGAAGAGCTAATTGAGAAATGGCAGAAGTATCTCACTGATGCAATGGCTTAGATTTAGCAAACTATGTTGCAACCATTTGTTGCCAAGAAGTGTTCAATGTCATTTAAGTCGTCATGTGGTGTGTCATCTGAGAGCATTAAAGTTCCTTCATTTCCCCATTCCCTGTAGATGTCTGCCAGAGAACCCCAGAGTACCAGTATTTGCTCCCTAGCCAAGGGACAAACAACAAGACAAACCAAACCAGAACCAACCAAGCCCATATATATTGGTTTACCCAGAACTTCTCTCTCTTTGTAGTATTACAGCTTCTGAACTCCAAGCTATTACTTCATCCATAAAGATAACAGAGATCTTCTTACACTCAGTCCTCTTTCCCCATAAACATACAGGCCAGTAGTAGTGAAACACAATAAAACCATTATCAATGGCACACTGATGCCAATTTTTTTTTCACTACACTTTCTTGCCTCTGAAATAATGTCGCCATATTCTGGAAAGTGCCATCAAGTATTTCCTTAAATATCTTAAATGCTTGCATATTTTCAAATTACTAACATTGCTGTCATAGGCAAAACACCACTGGGAAACTGGGAATTAGGAGGTCCCAGTGGTGTGGCTTTTCAGATACAAAAGATCAAACATTTACTTCAGTAAGAGTTGAACTAGATGCCTAAAAGGGAATAAATACATTACAGTACTTTTTATTTCCAAAGTAAGGTACATAATTTTGGGCATTAGGATAAAAGACAATACACCAAGGAGTAGAAAGACTATGTTTGTTGTTTCTAACAATGTAAAAATATTATTTTTAAATATGAAAGAAATTTTAAAAAACCACTGTGGATGCAAACTACAGGACATAGAACATGATTAATTTTTTAATCAATTCAGAAGCAATTAATTTTTAAGTCCTCCCAATTCAGTTTCAGTTAAGCTACTCCTGTAATAGTATATTTTACAGAAACATGGCCTCAGTGAAAACATACTTCAACACCTGCTCACATGCAGCACTATGATTTGCATATCAAAATCAATCAGCACCTGTCTTTTCAATGTCTTAACAAGACTCTATAAATAAAATCCAAACACATATTCTTGTTCTATGCTAAAACATCATTGAAGTGCTATTTCCTATTGGAACAGCTGATGATATAATTGAATTTGGGCTCATGTGGATTGAAACTTTAAAAAAAACCACAACTTACTATTAAGCCCTTTGGTTTTCAGTGTTCAAAGGATCTGAGATGATTATGAAAAATGACAAGTTAGCACCCAAATCCGATGGATCAAACTCAATACATTAAAAAAAAAATCACTGTAACAACAATTTAACATTGAAGTCAAAACAGGAAAAAAAAAACCCAGAAGGCATTGAACCAGTTTAGCATTGCCTAAAAAAGAGAGGTTTTCTCAGGCACTGCACAGAACTCTTTAAAAAGACTACTTCTTTAAATGAAAGCACCAAAGCTACCTCATTCATGGACTTGGAAATGCCATAGAAAATACTCTGGGAGCAAAAGAATCCATCATCCAAAACAACAGAATTGCCTGAAAGACATGGAAAATAACTCCAGCTGGTAGAATCATTAAGCAGCATAAATTGAAGTAACCAAATGGCAACTCTATGAAAAGGTTGCTATAAGTGTCACCCAAACCTAACAGTCCGGTTCTAATAATGCCTACAAGAACATGAAGTTACTGGCTATAAATTCAACAAACAGCATCACTTGCTGATATCTCATGGTTCCCAATCAGCAAATAGCCTTAGAAAATTAGAGAAGGAATTACACTGATTCTTTAGGTCTTAAAAAAACCCTGTAGAATTTTTGTGAAACAGTAACTGACAAAACAGACAATTACAGACAAAACACTACTGTGCAAGCAGAAAGATTATAGCCATTTAAAAGAAAACTTTCCTGTCCAAAATTAGATCAACACTTGCTTCCATTGACAGCTAAAAACCTAAAATATTATACCATATATCTTTTCAGTCAAGTAACTGCTGAAAAATACTGAAACTGAGAATTTGGTTATAGGGTTTTTTGTATTTAGCACATCTTGGAACTTTATTTCCCATTCTGACATCCAGCTCTTCTTTCTTGGCTGCCAAACACAGGCATGTTACTGTGGAAATAACACACTATATGACAGTTTTGAGACTAAAAGTATCCTGTCTATCACTACCTGTGCTGCTAGGATTTTACATGCAGCAATGAGCAATACCAGGCTGTTCATTAGTCAGGCCTCAAAAGATCCCAAGATGTGTGAAACGCTCAGCTGTTCCAAAATAATTAATCCTTCTGCTTTGGTTTCTTGGTCTCTTTTTTTATAAGAAATAGGTAATTTTCAGCATAACTTTTACCAAGCTATCATCTTTAAAAGCACAGCTGCAGCAGTCATTGTCACAAGTTTCTACACCAGCCCTTTCTACAGAGCATTTGCCTAAGTTATAGAAACCCTCACATGTGAAAACCTTATTGCCAAGTTCCTTGTGGCAGATTCTCCACCTTTCAAAGAACATTTTATGTTCAGAAGAATACCTAGAAACACCTGCCAAATAAAAATAAAAAGCCTAAGCAAAAAAAACCCATTAAGAATGTAATTCTAAGCTGCTTCAGTGTGACAGCTAACTTGTAGCAATGGAAACTGGGACACATACTCACTTTTCCTAAGGTGGCTTTGACTTCCCATCTCTCCTGTTTTATTTTTGGAACTGAATAAAACAGCCATAAAATGAAACTTTATTCAGAAAAGTCTTATCTTGTCATCTGTTTCTCTTAGGGTTTGCATCTCCATTCTCTGAAATTATGTAGGACACTGCACTCAGCAATGCAGTGGAATACAGAATGCAATTTCCACAATATCCTAAGACAAACTTGAGGTAGACAAGTTTATCAGGCTCAGTAACAATCCTAAAAAGGATTGTTTGCCCCTCCTTTGCTCCTGCTCTTCCACTGTCTCAGGTCCAACAGTGAGCCAGCGCTCTTTATTCAAGAGGCAGAAAACTCAACATAAAAATAGAAGCTAATAGTTTTCCGTTCAAGAAACCAGAAATATACTAGAAACAAAGAACTGGACTCTAAATAGCCCTCCCAATTTACTGCTATTAGGAGAAAAGGGGAAAGCCACAGGAGGGCATCACACTCTGCTCTTGGCAGTGGTGTAGTAGAAGGCCCATTGGACATTTACATTATGCCTGTCAATTTTCAGTTATTAATATGAATACAGCATATATGAGCTCACCACTCATTCTCATTTACAAAATACCTCTACTCCCTTGAGAACTTCTTATTAGAAATATTATCTCCTAAAGATTTTAAGGTTCATTTGAAATTGTCTCAATTATATGAAAGTTTACATAGTAACCTAATAACCCCAACTGTACAAATACCACCCTTTTAACTTAGCACTACACATAGTACTAAAGACACAGAGCATTAAAGATTTTCATTATACAAGGTCAGGAAAAGCTACATTATAGAACCTCTGTTATTTATCAAAGCCTCTCTGTTGAGCTCTAAGACCAGTTAGGTCTTAAGCAGGTTTTTTTGGTACAGCTTTCTGCCCTCTGGCCAACAGACTCAGTTTACTGAACACTCAGGCTCCCTGTCTTCTGAGGGATTTCCTTTTGCAACAAAGGACACTGCCTTGAAATAATCAGTTGCTCTTTCAGAACTTAACCACCTTTCCATCAAACTGAGTAAGGCTGTAAAGAGATTCTTCTGGTGTTCCAGCATGGGTGGAGAAAACCTGTTGCCATGATCTCAGCCTGCATCCAGATAATGTCAGGCATTACAGGCAGGTTAAGAATGCTGTTTTTCAAGAACATTAAATAATGCCCAAAGCATGCCACCTAAAATTGCAGAACCCGAATGACAGGGTCATCCCAATGGGGAGAAAAATCTCAAGCTGTATAACAATATAAGAGAAATAGGTAAAGCATTAGATTTGACAACTTTGAGAGTAATGATGACCTATTTGTCCTACAGTAAATTCCTAACACTGGCAGTAATGATGTGGAAAATGCTGTACAGCTCAAAGGAGTTAAAAATTGTACATCACTGAGAAAAAAAGAGTTTCTTTGAGAAATGCAATGGAACTTAGGTTATACTGCCCCTGTATTGGGGTTGTTTGTGCATCACCATATTCATTTCTACATGAGAAGCACCTCCAGATATATGAAATCGAAACTACCTTGGCATCGTATGAAAAGAAAATTCTGTTTCCAAGAATGTAAAGGGGAAAGGCTCACCAGAAATTCAATTAATTAACAAATATAATGGATCCAGAGTAAGGGGATCCAGTCAGAAAAAGACAAAATGAAAATAAGTTGTACGAAGAGAATACATGCATCCAATGTATCCATTAGATATGGTCAGCTCTAACAGTCTTACATACAGTTAAACAGCCCTGATATTTGTCATCCTAACTGTTCTGCAATAACTGTTAACTGCAAGTGTCGAGCAGAATTACTATGACCATTTCATCTACAGGAAAAGTAAACAGAAATTATTCCTCAAAGTTCTATCTTGTGGAACAAGAGAAATCTATTGATAATGTGGGGAACTGATGCTCCTTTGAGAAGGAATGAAAAAAAAAATTTGCTGAGAATCGAATATCAAGTAGCTATTTGAAAATGTTTCCACTGTTTTATCCTTGTTTCTTTCTTCTTCTTTTGGCAACGTTGTTTCCTATGGGACAGGAAATATCCCAACAAGCCATGTGGGGGTGCTGTGCTCAGAACACAACTTTTCGCACCAGTAGGTTCGCATACCCACAAACTATCCACTGGCTTTCTTCAGAATTCGGACATTTACTTTGCCCAGCCAGTGACAGTCTGAAGGCTGGTAAGCCCAGGTGTCACGGTGACAGATTCAGGTGCTCTCTGTCGGGCTATACACCGCGCTTCTTGGACAAAGCGGCACGTATGAAACCGCTCGCTGACACGGTGAACAACCACTCTCATCAGAATCCATTTGTACCTTCATCTTTACCACGACTAGAATCCGATGCTTCAAGGATGGCCAAAACCCTCACACGAACCAGAACCGCCCCCAAAGCAGCAGCGGTCCTGCCCGAGCCGCGTTACGGTCAGACGCGAGCGTGTCACAGCAAGAACGGCGCCTGCCATCGGCTGTGGGGACAGCCCGGCACAACTTCCCTGCTGCACGCCCGTCCCAGCCCGGCCAGGGCGCTCCGCGGGGCGGGGGCAGCCACAGACCCGGACGGCGGCGGGGGCGGCCCGCCCTCACCCCGCGCCCGTGCCGCTCACCTCGGAGGCGCCTCTGGTACCGCTCCAGGGACTCCTCCAGGGCGCGCTCCCCGCGGGGCTCCCGCATCGGGACGCCGCTGGCCGCCGGGGAGCAGCCGGCGCTGTGCCCCGGCACCGGGGGCTCCCCGCGGCGAGGCTTGGGGACGGTAGTTCCACCCGTTCTACCTTCCCGCGTTGGGCTCTCGGAGGAGCCACCTGCGGGGCTCCCTCCGGCTCCTGGTGGCCGACCGTTGCCGTCGGCCGCCGCAGCTGAAACTAGCCACGCCAGGAATCCGTCGCGCTTCCCGATGGCGGGAATGTCGCCGCCGGGACTACAAGTCCCGGCATGCACCGCTCCGCCGGAGGCAGAGTCCCCGCCCACCGCCCACCCCCGACAACCGGGAAAGGGTGGTCGCCGCAACCCGTCTCCCCTTTGTTGTGGATCGCGGCCGCAGTCGCGCCTGCGCACAGCACAGCCCGTCCGCCTACGCCCTCGGGCCTGCGGCGGGCTCAGCGCCGGTTCCGCCACGGCCGGGGCGGATCGGGGCGGAAAGCGCCGTTTACCTCCCGCCATCGCCCGCGCGGGGAGCGCCCGCAGCCCGGGGAGCGCTATTGTCTGCGGGCGGCGCAGGCGCACGCGGCCCCGCCGCCGCCGGGCTCCGGCGCGTGCGCAGTGTGGCGCGGTGCCGCGGTGCCGTTAGCCGCCGCTATGTGCAGGGAATAACGCCGGGGCCGTTGCCAGAGGGACACCGAGCGCTCCGCCCTCGCTCCCGCATCCCGCGGGATGCCGGCCCGCTGAGCACCCGCTAGCGACGGCCCCTCCCCGGCGCGCGAGCCTCCTCGGAGGGGTGAGTGAGGACGATGCTCCTGCCGCCGCCGCCCTGGGCTGCGGGTCGGGCGGGAGCCGTGGCGGGGAGAGGGGCCGCGGTCCGCCCGGTGCCTATTGTGTCAGGAGGTACCCGCCCGCCGGGACCCGGGCGGGCTGCGGCCGGCGGAGAGGGAGGCAGCACGGTCTGGGCACAGCCCGCTCCCCCTCCCCCGTCCCCGCCGGGCCCGGAGCTGACTCCGCGCCCCCGCCTCCCTTTCCCCTCGCCAGCGCGGGGCGATCGCCGGTGCCGGGGGGCATCCCCTCAGGCGGGACGCGGACGGCATCCCACGTCTAGCATTCGGTGCTGCTGGATCCCGCTGCCCGCGTCTCCCTGCCCCTGTCCGCCCGCGGGGCGCCCCCGGCACACCCACCCAGCCAGCCAGCCCGGGGCTACGCAGCCTCCCCTCCGCGGGCGGATTTCCGCGGTTCCTGCGGAGACGTTTCCAGAGGTTTAATTTTTTTTTTGATGACCTTCTTTCACTGCCTGCCCTGGGGCTGGAGGCAGCATGTTTCTCCGGATTTAAAAATCAGTGACGCCCTTCGCCTGGGATGCGGCGTTTCCCCCCATCTCCTTAAAATAATGTCTTCTGTGAAAGGGTGATGGAGAAAATCTGCGGGTTTCGCCTTTTCTCGTGTTGCGTATTTCCACCCGACGAGTCAGGTCCCCTGCTTCCGAAAATATCCTCCCGAAGGCGTGAGCTTTTCCTTTTTCCAGGCGCTTCCCGGGAAAAACATGAAATCAGGGTTTTTGTCCCCGGCGGCGAGGAGCAGCCGGGCCCACTTTGTGCGCCCGCCGTGGGGACGAACGGGTTACTGCGCTAACAAAAACCCGATGGCGATTTTCGAGCAGAAAGCGGCGTCGCAGCGGAGGAAGCGGGCGGGAGGGGCGGAGCGGGGCGGGGGCGCTCCCCGGGCCCCGCTGCGCCCCGGGGCCGCCGGGCAGCGGGGCCGGGAGCCGGGCGGGCACGGCGAGCGCTGCCTGCCAGCCCCGCCGGTCGCCCTGTGCTGAGCGCTTTTTCAGCATAAGCCGACAATTAGCCCATCAATGCTCCCGGCTTGATGGAAAAAAAAAAGAGATGTAGATGGTATGCTGATGAGTTGTGTGTACATAAGGATTGCGTTATTGTGACAGGCGATTAGATAGCATCCACTGATCTGCACTTGGAGGAAATTATTTGCTTCCCTGTGAAAGCAAAGGTACTCATAAAATATTTAAGTACTTTGAAAGAATAAAGCCTGTTCTTGCATTGCGATGATCATCTTTTCTCCTTTGGAATGCCATTCAAGGCTTTGTGACAGCGCTCTTGGCCCTGGGCTTGTGTCTGCAAAATGATACGTGGGATGGGACAGTTTTTGTAAACTGAACGGAGGAGACATGATTACATATGCTGTGATTTCCTATGATTAATTTCCTCTAGGAATTACTTTATGTCCAGATGCTGAGAAGTGTGTCTTGCTAAACTCTGCTGATATGGAAGCTCCTCAACTTTTAATTTTATTTAACGAGGAAAAAGTTAAACATAAACACTGCAAAGAATCTCACTTCATTCTTTGATTAACACTTCTTAAAACACTTTTTCACCTTTATGTAAATGTTCTGTTCTTGTTGGCTTTTTTTTTCCCCTTTGTCTAATAGAGGTTAGGAAGGCTGGCTGAATAGAGAGAGTAGTGCAGCTGGGGACAGAAGGAATTTTGTCAAAATCTCAAGAATCTTGAAGTTATTTGGAATGGATCAGATTAAAATGCTTTAATTCTTTTGAAGAGAAGCCTTCTAAGTTGTTACCAAACTTCAGCATGACAGTGCATTGTTTGGGGAGTGGTTTTGACATATGACTATTTCCCATATCTAATCTGACTTCTGAAAAAAACAATGGGTTATTTCTGTTTTGAGTTTCATCTGCTGTAATGGACTTGACAAGCAAAATTTCTTTAAAAGTCTGATGATAACATACAAGCCAGAAAAGCTCCAGCTTATGAAAATGAACTGGAAAAGTCTGTGTTCAGTTGTAGGTGAGAGCTTGGAAACTTCGTTAAATACCTGGAATGAAACCCAAGGCATGAGAAGTTGCAGAAATGGATTTTGCAGTACCATTTCCAGTTCTTGGCATTGCAGGGAGAAGGTATTTAATGTATATTGATACCATAGTATCTCCTTGATTCAGGACAGTTTCCATGTTAGCACTGCTTTTCTTAGCTTTGCAGGCAGAATGGAACTGAGATACAACAGATTGTTTTTACTTTAGTTAGAAAGCAAAGAAAAACTGTGAAATTCTGGTTTTCCTTTAGAAAATTCTGAACTGAGGCATCAGATATGGAATATAGGAGATATGGAATATAGGAGATATGGCATATAGGTTTTCTAGAAGTAAATTCTCTCTGCTTCTAGCACTTGTGAGATTGTAAAGGAACACAATGGCACTTCCCCCTGTTCGAAGAATATGCATAATGTAGTAAAAATGGATTCTGTTGTGAGCAAGAGACTGCAATTTGAGAAGAGGAAGTTGTTTGTGACTGAGGGATGGAACTTCAAGTCTGCTAGCTAGGAGCTGGGGTTGGATGTGTGTATCTCCTCTAAAATGCACATTTTCACTGTGCTGATTGAGCCTGTGGGAGCCTTCCATTGTCTGTAGGTTTGTAATGCTCTCACTGAAGGCCTGCGTGTCTTCCGTTCTAGTATTGATCCTTGTGTGTATCCATGCATTTTCGAGGGACTGCTCTACTGAGAGCAGCTTCCTTCAGTGCTCAGTGCTAATGTTTCCCTGGATCACAGTCCAGCTGGGGTATTGAATGGGGCAGGTGTCATGGGGAAAAGTAGTGTGTGATTAGGTGACTTAAACTGTAACAGAACGCATGCAAATAAGGGTGGGAAGAGAGTTGTTTAAACAACTTCATGTATGTCTGTTGTACAGTTATACATTCAAAAAAATACTAAAATAAATTGCAAATGCCTCGTTCTGTTCTGTAGTTCAGTTTCTCTGACTCTATCACCAAAAAGCTGGGAGGCTGTTTTTATTCTAAAGGTGCATTTGTGGGTAGAGTGATCTTTTTAGTTAAAATTGTGTTTGACCTTCAAAAAACGCTTATATTTTAAATTGGTATGTATATAATTTTTTATCATATGTCAAAACTAGCTTGTCCTAGAGGTTTCAAATAAAAGCCACAATCATATTTTAGTAGATTGCTGATGTAATTAGATTTCAGGTGGAGAGACCTGTGTTTGGGAATGTACTCTCTGCTGCATCACTGAAATTGAAGTGTGTTCTGTTGGCTCTTAGATTATGGGGGAGAAGTAAGGGAGTGGGGTGGATATTAAAGAGGCTGACTAGTTGTTCTCCTATCTTAATGGCTCTATGTGGAGTATTCCCAGTTACTCCCTTCTCTTTGGGTTTGGTACAGCATGGCTGCACTGCTTTGTTGCAGTGACTCTGGTAGTTTGCAAAGTACATGAGAAGTTAATTCACTCCACTAACCCAGGAGAACACAATTTCTTTTCTTTTTGCTTTGCTCTTTTTTTCCCCCCTTCCTCCCTTGGATTAGCAAATTGAATTATCTTATTGTGTGGTCAGATGAGTGCCAGAGCGAGTACACAGAACGGGGTCAGCAGTGTCAAGCCAGGAAGAAGGGAATACTCATTTTTCCAGTAGCAAAGATAGATTTAATCTGCTTTCCTGTCCTATATGGCTGTTCCCTGCACCACTAAAGGCTACTGTAGTCAGACAGGAGGTGGGTTATGTGTTAATCCAAGAAAACTAAAAATTGAGATACTGGGTTTGTTCTGTTAGTCTTTATTTGTGGTCCTTGATATGTAAAATGTCCACAGCAACAGACTAAACATTCAGAAGCTATCGCTGGAAGAAAACAAAAAATATTTGGAAAGTAAATGTTAAAAAAGGGAGGACAAGTAGTTCTGTTAAGCATTGTGGCCTTTTTACTAGGATAAGCAGGATTTTTGGTCCAGGCTAATGTTGGTATCTTCTCCTTTATGGAATTTAAGGATGGAAATTTTCAAGTATTTTCATAGCTTTGTCTTTCCTATTTACTAGTTTTGAAGAAGGTGGGTTTTGTGAATTGTAGGAAGGTTCTAGTAGGTAGGGGTTTTGAGAAAGGGTGGGTTTTTAAATTCAAAGCAGAGATTAAAACATTGGTTTTTTTATTCCTTGAACAGAATTTGATACATTTTTCACATGTGAGCCCAGCAAAGCCCAGCTTTGTTTCTCCTTCTCTTTTTCTCCTCTGATGAACTGTTAGTGAAAAAATAGACTTTTTCTTAGCTAGGTGCTCTTCAGAGCTTCAGCATCACCCACTGGCGAGTCTAGTGGGCTGACTCAGATCCATCAACTGCAGCTCTCTTCCTGTCTTGCTCCTTTGGTTGGTTTTTCTGCTTTTATTGCAAGGTTTGGTGTTCTTGTAATAGAGTCCTCTGTTTTCTTGTTTCCATTCTCTTGAACTGAAATGTTTTATATTCTGATCTAGTCAGTGAAACTTAAGAGGGTATTGTCCTTGATGAATAGCTGAGTCTTCTGAAGTCTGTGTGGTGCGTTTTCCAGATCTCATTTTGTACTTCATTCCTAAATAAAATTCTGGTTCTGTTCATTTTGTTTCTTTCCAGGAAGAACTGCAATTATTGAGCTTTTCAGAGACATAACAGAATTGGTGCCACTCCCTGGCATTTCCAAGATGTTTCTTTGTGCATGAGGTATTTAGTTAGTCTTCAGCTGTGGCATACGAAAAACTTGTAATCAATCCATTAGCAAGTCATTATGGTCTGAAAGTAGTAATACACCCAGTGCATTTAATCAGATGTACTTGCAACTTTTCCCTCAAAATTACATGCCCAAATAATTTTGTTGATGATCTTTCTATTCATTTGCAAATATTTGCCCATCTAAATATGCGTTCTATTCTGTGTTCAAAACCAAGCCTTTGCAATTTTGTCTTATTTGTCTTCTCAAAGTGGATTGCACTTCAGAATTAGGAAGA